CAGAGAAGTCAGAAGTGCGGAATTGGTGATCGACTGTCACATCAACTCAATAAAATTTAATTTTCCACTGATGGTTAATGATATCCGCCAGATTCGGAGGATCGGATGCACTGTATATTCCGGTCAGGTAGGAGAATGCATTGACTAGAACAATTAGGTTTTGATTAATCTAGCACTGTTTAAAAAAATATTTTATACTTGAAGCCATTCAGCATCCAAAGGCGTCAGCTGTGAGAATTCGGTCATTCTTGGAGACAATACTGAATTTCTGCTATAGTTCATGAACAGATTCTCGCGGATCTGGCGTTTGTGTTCAAAGCCCTCGTGAGGGCGAGAATGGTTAGCTGCTCACTGCCCTTAAACCACTGAGCCGTCATTTTATTCCCTAGGCCCGATTGACACATCTGAAGTCAATGAATGCAAATCCCTTCATGCATTATTATTATGTTCATATGGCTGTATACATTCTGAACCACCAATGACAGAACCGGTGTAAGATCACGTGATCTCTAATAGATTTGAATCTCTGGAGGCAATGAGTGAGTTCAAACTGGTGAGTCGCAAATATACACATACGTGCCCTATTTGTGATATGACTGCAATACATTTCGCTCGCCTCAAATTACTCTTCACAAATCACGTGCAGAAAGTTTCGGGTGTGAAGTTTTAGACAGACACACTATTCTAATAAGTTGAATTGAGAAAACGTATTATATTTGCTTATTATGGAAATTTTTAATTAACCATCACCTGGGCATTTTTTATGGGTTCAAACTACTTTTTATGTATTGGAAACTACTCTCATCTGTTTTTTGGTTTCGCATGGGGACAAATTATGGTTTTTAGCAAACTCAGATGCTCTAATTCAGTACCATGATGCGTGTAAACCATTCCAAGCTTTCTGTTCGTATTGATTTGTTAACCCTGAATGAGTCAAATTAAAGTCTCCGTTGCTTAAATCATGTCGACAACAGGTGTTGGGAGCCTGGAACGTGATATTCTCGCTGGAGCATCTGTGACCCCGAGTCATTATAGTAGCGGACAATCTAGCATTATGCAAACTATCTTACAGGTGATCTATGATACCTTGAAAAATGTATTGATCCATACGTCAGAAGTTCCAAGCACTGCAAAATATCTCTCAAATATTATCACTGATTCATCCGAGTTCTTTGCGACTTACGACATCCTTCCGTCTATCGTCCCTATGTCAACTCACGGGTTCATATATGTGAAGGGAGAATTCATACGCAATGATCCAACAGTTGAAACTGAGAGAAACATAATCAATTCCGTATACTTAATGTACGTTGGTACCTCGTGGTACCTCATGGCCATGGAAAATCTGGTGTCTTCTATGATTACATGAAGGTAATGGAGGAGTTGATTCAATTTCAGAGAAGGAATTCGTCATGTACAGAGAAAATGAAGCGTGAACTGAATAGCTCGGAAGCAATGTACATCTGTTTTGACCTTGTTGAGTCTCGTCAGTAGTGCGAATCCATCGACCCAATTGGGGATCGAACCCAATGAATGAAATAAGTTATAATCATGTGATCGAATCCAGTTCGACCGCCTGCGTGGTGACACATTAGTTGCTGTTTTTACGCGATAATGTTCGGCAGTTTGCTACTTTCCTCAAACATTGACTCATGATTATTAAGTTAACAATGAGACCCAAAAATCAAAAATTCGTTAGTTGCGAGGTCAGAAGCTCAGTATCAGGTTCCGCTCACATACACACACCTGTCTGTCTTATTAGTTTGAACATTCTTAATTTTTCGTAGAGACTGGTGCATTTAATTTCCTTATTCAAGTCACTCAATCCATGTCGACTGAACATGACAAACGAGCCAAGGATACTAGAGGTAAATCAAAAAGTTCAGGTGATAAGATGACCAAAATGCTTGGGTCATAGTATTCTAACATTTCCGGTAACGCTGGCCAAAACCTTCCTCAGCTGCAAACATTGGTTATTCGAATACACTCTGATAAAATACTACGCAAGAAAAGAAGCGCTTCTGTTCTCCAGACATAATGCGAGAAACGGAAGAATCCTTGGAGAAAACGTTTTCGCAGAAAGATTCATTGATATTCATAGTACACAATCTTAAACAAATGATCCATATCCAAATTGTACCCCGAATATCTATCTATATCACGCTGGTTCTGTCAGGTGATTACCTTCCAAATGATAAGTGCCAAAGGTTCAAGCCGGGACTAATCCGCACGTTTCAAGTCGCCCAACCTCTACCGGCGCAGTTGATTGGGATACACATACACTTGGTTGTCTTTCCAGTTCTGTCTCATACACCGTATACCATTTCATCTGCAGTTGTGGTAAAGCATACACCGGCAGAAAAAACCAACGACTGCCACAAATAATGACCAAACACATTCCCAAGAGGCTGATGAAATCTGGAACGGAACCCATATACGTTAGTCAGACTGTCACAAGGAGCCCCCGAAGCATCTATTGCAAAACAGAGAAACGTGTGACCGTATGGGAAATTGCACTTAACTGAAATATATTAAAATTGTTTCAGTTATGGATCCATGTGTCATTTCAAGGTCATTTAATCATAACCTATTTTATCTTAACTGGAGGACCCTGTAGAATATAGACAGAGAAAACTCACTAACACGGACTATGAGTCGACTAATCGGAATGGCCTATCCTACCAGGAGGCCGGTGACGATTGATTTTCCATACTCAGTGCCACTTATTTATTCGTGCAAATGGATGTTTGGCAGATTTGAAGTTTCGATGGCGATTGTGAAACGTTCAGTAGCCGATTCGAACCCATGCATGGACGCCGCCTATGCTCTGTACGCGTATGTTGTACCAGCTGAGCAACGAGGCCATAACGATAGCACTGATCTGTTCACATTCAAATTACCCATCTAACTTACGGAGGCATATGGCATCCACCAATTAGCATGTAAGCTGACTGCCACCATCGAGGCTTCTGAACTTATTTATGTAACACTGCATGAAAACACTGAACTCATTAGTGACTTTTAATTTTCCAAAACTACAGTGTTTTCACAAATCCCAATACAGTCACATGTGCAGGTATGCAGTCCCGTCTCAATAACATAAAAATTTGACCCCTAAAAGTAAAATTCTAGTTGAATTTAAAGAAAAGCTATCTAAGAACGTTGAAAAGTAGTCATTATTACTCCACTTTTTCCTTCGAGGTTAGCACAAAATATTTAGTCAAAACACAACAGAATACGATTTCCCATTTGATGACATAAGAGCGGTACTGCCACAGTATCTTTCCAATCAATGTCTTTAGAGATTGACTTCATTTCAGTCTGTTAACTATGTTACAATGAGAATGTGGTATAAACTCCCATTTGTGGAATATTTTTCGACATATCAGATCTTAGTTTTTTTTTTTTGACGAAATCAACGATAAGCTCCAAACATATTTTTCAGGGTTTTCAGGACATGATAGGTTCATCAGTGTATGACTCAATGACTTAATTAATCTGTTCATTTCATACATGCGTGTTTACCGAACATTTTCACAGCAGAAACTAGTTCGTTGTCACTGCAAACCTCGTATTTCCGGTCATCTACAACACAAGAAACACAAAGTCACTGAAATTTGCCGAGCTTTTAGTCATTCAAACTCTCAGGCCTGATCTATGCAAAGAACGTGAATGGTTAGGCACATTAGTTTTGCTTTGGTGATTAACCCCCTACCCTGCCTCGTCCCTGGTTTTAATGTTTTGTGTCGTGTTGTCCGTTGTGATTATCGATCTTGTCTTCTTTGAGTGCACCATGCACGTATACAGATCCCGTGAAATGACCATAGATACATTGTACAAACCCATGTTTCTGACTACTCTGTTCATGTTTTTGATGGGAAAACAGTATTTTCAGCGTCTCAGTCATCGCCTCCCACCATCAGTGATACGTTAGTTGAGCGGACCTGTGAGATTGAGGTGCAAGATTGCTGTACGACGAGTGCTGATGGATTTCCTACCTGGATGTATCGAACGTAGCCATCGCACAAACCAACGAGGATGATTTCGTTCAGTTTCTCAAAGAGCCCAGTTTATTTCACACACGCTTTGCATCCAAATTTACACAACTTACAAAATCTTTTTTCAATGTCAGAATTCAGCTAACCTGAACCATTCCTTTTTGTTTTCCTGTTATTCTATCCTTCTGAACCCCAGGTAGGTGCTCCATTCAATCCAAAGTTTACAATTAGCTGAAGATTTACTGTATGTAAAACTCTTCACACAAATTATCATGCTTTATTCACAGAATTGATTCCCAGTTCCCATGGAAATGTGTTGTCCATCTACAAAGACTATTGAACTCAATGCATTGTGCTAAGTGTGGTTTCGGCTGAAAATGCATTTGGTACTGACCTAGAGAAATGAGTTTTGTATGAGTGTAGGACCTCAGCACACCGAGGTCTGACCAATCACGATTTGATTTCTGAATAAGACTGCTAAATTTGCTTTACGACCAAATGTGGTCGGTATTAATGAATATTTTGTCGAAAAAATGGAACTTCCGTATTTCAATGAACCTATGATTGAATTTTTAAATCTATGAACATCACTCGTACTCCTTCTCGAATCGGCTATTTTCTCACCATCGTACTGCTGTCATACTTACCGCCATATCACGAATATCAGTGAAACAAAACTACAGTGAAAATGTTTTTCGTATATATATTTTTGTAATAACGTCATTGATTTGCTTACGAAAGAATGCAAAACTATGTTAATTCACGTCACATATACTTGTTTTTGATGACAGAGTTCATATGGAATTCTACATCTTGGTTCACATTTATTTACTCATTAGAGTAAAATATAGACCACACAGTCGTCTAGAGGTCCAGTGGGAGACAAGAAGATGTATGTG